ATCAAACCAGTACTCTGAGGGGACAAGCATGGTCCTTTCTCTCTGGAGAATCTTCTGTTCTGCTTGGAAACTTCAGGCATGTGGATCCATAAACAAGCAAAGTCCAGCCCAGCACAAGCCATCAAATTGCAGCAACTTAACACCAGCTGTGTCAATCATCTTCCTCTTCGTTTGGTTGGGTTCTTGTCAGCTCAGCCCTAGCCATCCCAGCTAGGTCATGGGGTACCAGCTGCCAAGTTTGGGAGTCACACTCTTCCCTTCACTTCAGACCAGCCAGCACCTTCTCTCACATCTTCAGTCCTCGGGGACTATTTCAATGCCCGTAGGCTCACAATTCATTGCACTTTAGACCAGTCAGCCCTTCCTCTCATCCCCAGCCTCTGGGCCTAGGTCAAAGAGTACCAAACTCAGCCTGTTTCTTCTTTGCTGCACTTCCCCCATTTCCACTCAGGTGGATCCAGGTGGTCACAAGCAAGTAACATACAAGTCTACTACTCACTGGCTTCCTTTAACTTTCAGTCCTGGAAAAATCTCTAGAAAAGTCCTGGAGAGATCTCTCATGGATCATGACTTTCCTGCCTTGATGGACCCAAGGCCTATCTGCTTGCTCGAAATTCAAAAAGCCAAACAGTCACCTTTTTTTCTCTTCAGGTCCTCTCTTCAAATGCAAATCTTCCCTTCCCTGAGTAGTACTGGGTGGGGCTCAGGTTTTCTACCTAAGCTGCTAGTATGGGCTCTACACACAGGGCTTAAAACAAAAGCCTGTGTTTCTGCTGGGCAGATTTTATTTCCCCTTTTTAACATATCCAATCATGTATTGGCTGAAGGTAGACTTACACGCTCTGTTACCCACATACCCCATAATCGTTTCTAATGTATAAGCAGGTAAGAGAACATTCAGTAGCCATAGTACATTCAGATAAATACATAATCCAAAACACATAATCCTTTTAAATACATTCCTGGTTCATCTCTTCACCTTGATTACCGTCCCATTCTATGTATATGGCCTTGGGCCTTTGGCTGGGTGTAACCAAAAGCCCTAGCTTCTGGATCAATTACCTACTTTAAGAGGTAACACCAAAGAAAGTAACCATTTAAGAATCCAAAGTTTCATTTCCCAGGCCCCTTCCTTCTTCCTTTTACAAAGTCTCATGCTTCTGTGAGTCTGGAGCCACTGCATCGAATCCCACTTCTGACACCAGCTGCAAAAAACGTCAAGGAGGCCACATGTTCTGACCTCCTATAATCCCACGAGAGGAAGACAGGATTACCAGCAGTAGCCCAAGGCCTATTACTGCAAGGCCAGACATGCTGCCTCCCTTCAGCACTTTCACCAACCGTTCCTCCCAAAGCACCCACCACCTCTCTCCTGGGTTCGATAATTCGCTGCAATGGCCACACAGAACTCACAGATTACAGGGTTTATTAGGGAAGCACCACAGGCTACAATTCAAGTTCAAGGAAAATGCTCAATCTCTCTCCCAGCCCACCGTCCCTCAGCCAGTAGTCTCTCACAGTCTCTTTCCCAGCAGTGCTGGTCCCTCGGTGTCTCACTCAGCAGTGCGTAATTCTTGCCTCTCTTTCCCAGCAGCACGTGTCTCTTTCAGGGGTGCATGTCTCTTTCAGCATCACGTCTTCCTCAACCAGCAGTCAGAGAGAGATTTCTGCCTCTAGGAGGCCTCCTTTTGAGCTTGGCAGAGTGGCCAAACTAGCCAATCATAGCATCAGAACTCTAAGCACCTGAGAGAGAGTGGGCATCTCCCAGAACATTGTTTTGTGCCACTCCCAACAGAAATACTCCAGGTGGACAACTTCAGCAATCAGGAGCTCCTCAGTTGCTCATAGAAAATCCC